GGATTTTTGAAGGTGTGATGGCTCCTTCCTTCGTTCGCTCCATCGGCCTGTCTGCTGTGTGCGTCTGGGTCTGCGTTGTGTCGCGTGTTGGTCAGTCTGTCTGTCTGTCTGACTGAGTGTCTGTCTGTGTGTGTATACAAGCGTATAATGTACAGAAGGCCAGGTGCAGGGGATGGGAGAGAGAGATAGAGACTGCGTGGCGTGGGTTGGCGCGGCGACTGTGATAAGCTCACCTCAAGCATCCGGCGGACGTGTTTTTGCTACCCGATCAACACACTCCTACCACTACCACCCGTTACCTGAAACCTGATGCACTTCCAGACAGACACGACCAGACAGGCAGGCAGACAGACAGCAGGCCCGCCTCTCTCAACGCACCAATCCATGAGTTATATGAGTGGGAGAGTGTGCGTGTGGGTATCGTCGTATGGGAGAGGGGAATGGCTGGGTGGGTCAGTTTTGACATCACATGAAGGGCGCATTTTTGCACGCGCATGAATGGTGAAATTGTTCCGATGTTGGTTATGTTTCACCTCACCAGGGAGGGCCTGCCTGCCTGCCTGCAACTGGCTATCTCCCCTCTCCCTTTCACTACCGCTGCTGCTGATGCAACTGCATGATCATCTCGTCTTGTTTGTCCCATGGAGGCTCGGTGCGACTGCTGCCTGTGACTCAGATCTTGGTAGTACATGTCCTTGGTCGAGCCAATGCGCGCTGGCGTGGCTGAGGTCGTGTGCGGTGAGAGCATGAGACACGGGGAGCAGCCGCATTCATGAGGGCACGATACACCGAGTGAGTCGAGTGTTTCCTGCCGTCTTTCATTGGGTTGGGTGGCGACAGAAGAGAGCGAGAGAGCGAGAGAGTCATTTGTGCATACGGCTGGCTGGGTGCTGACGGGCTGAGGTATGGTCCTGCGAACGCTTTTTCCTCCCTCTCCTTCTGATGGACTGTCGTTCTGATGGGTGGCTGATGGCTGGTGGGTTTTGCGTGTCGAGCCGGAGGCCGAGTGTTTGATGGGCAGGGGACTCTGCCTTTCAACCACTTGGCCTCGGTGTCGAGACGGCGAATCTACCGTTTTCAGTCGACCGTGGTGCGTTTCACATGCACTACCTTGAGCGAGAGAGTGCCCGTGTGTGTACAGATGAGTGGGCGGGCGGTGGTTGGCGAACGAACGAAGGGGTCGCAGACACATGTGTGTGCTGCGTGATGACTGTAGCTGCCTTGCATGTCATGAGTTTGTTGTGCATGAATGTGAACGTGCGTGTGCATGTATGTGTGATGGACTCCCATGACTGATTGGCACCGTGAAATCGCTTTTCGGTGTCTGGGAGTGCGTGCGTGCGCATGCAGGAGATGTCAGCCCTTCACATCACATCACACCGACCACGCAAGTGTCGTCACATCGCCACCCAACAAGAGGTCGCCAAACCGTCCGCACATGAGAGCCGCCCACATGCATTCTCTGCAAGCACCACTCAGAGACGGCTCATGCCTTGACAGCATAGCGGCGAGTCTTGATGTTCATCTGCTTCTTGGTCTCCCTGCAGGACACACACGCACACGAAATGCAACACACCAAGAGCACATGAGGCGGGCACAACCATGGCTGTGTTGTGTCGACCACTCACTTGACGGTTGGTTTAGCGAATCCGGCAGGGATTTTCCGTCTCTTGGCGCGCGTCTTCTTCTGCCTGATGTCGATGGGCTTGTACTTCTTCTTGTCCCACTCCTTGCGCGCCTCCTCCTTCCGCTTCTGATTGTACACCGTCAGGATCCGCGCAATCGACTTGCGCACGATCTGCACCACACACACACGCATAGACGCATACACGCCTCCTTCCTTCCGTACTGACTGGGTGTGCGTGTGTTGTGTACCTTGATCTTGGCGAGTTTCGAAGCGGCACCTCCAGTGACCTTGGCGACCCTGAGAGAGGCGAGCTCATTCTGGTACTCCTCGAGCTTCTTCAAAAGCTCCTTCTCGCTCGAGTTGCGCAACTCGTGCGCCTTGGTCTTGCCAACCTGAACCACACACGCACAGAGAGAGCACAGCGGATGGAGTGAGAGGGGGAGGGCAGGTGACCATCAAACACCCGTGCGTGAGTGGTGTGTGTGTGCGTGGTGTGTCGTGAAGCGTGTGAGGGAAGCGACACTGGCAGACTGCCTCGGCGGGACTCCTCCTGCCTGCAACTGCCTCGTTTGTCAGATCTGATCTGTGCCGCCTGTTTTCGTGTTTCTTCCTGCAGCTGGCTGCCTGCTGCTCTGGAGTGGGGGGTGTGTTCTTACCATTGGTGTCTCGGCTCAAGCTTCCAATTTCACTGCGAGCTTAGCGCCTGAGCACGGTTTCACGGAAAGTCCTAAGGCTGCTGACGAGCTCAGCACCTTTCTCCTTCCTCTCCTTCCCTTTCCGGGCAAGGAGGTCTGGACGATCATGGCTGTTCGCGTGCTTGGCAATCCTTCGATTCCCATAGAAGATCTACCTGGTGATCTCTCTGAGGATGCGACCGTGAAGCCCGTGGGATTGGACCTCGAGCTGGGCGAGATCTCTCCTGTTTCCGTTTCCTCTTGGCCGTTCGATGCCTTACCTGGTGCTTCCACCATGGCGTCCGGCTTCTCAGCCTACGGCGGAACGAGGACCTCGCGAGGTTGCGGCAGGACCACTGCGCAGGGCCACACGAGCCACGCTAGCACGCGAGGCGCAACCCAAGATCGAGAGGGTGAGATCGGGTGAAGAAAGCACAGCCGGGGTGGTGGGTGCCAATCGGACTCCTTCCTCTCTGTGTCTTTGCTTTCGTTTATGCAGTTCTGTAGGATCGATTTCTACGTGTCGCTGTTGCTGCATCACGTGTGGTTCCTGGTCCCTTTCCTCTTCCTCGCTGGCCTCATCCCTCGGTCCGTCTGGGCCTGGGCCTGCCTGACCTGGGCCTTCTTCTTCCCAGCCTCTGTGGCGTTCCTCACACGGCTTTCTGCTGCCTTTGGGGTGGTCTCACCTCTCTTGGACGACGCCAAACGCCGCGCCGTGTTGACCCACTTGATCTGTGCTGTATCTGTCATCGCTTGGGCTCACTATTTGGTGTGGACTCTTCCACTGGTCTGGGACTTAGCGACTTGGCTCGGGCTTCTCTGTCTTATCCCCCTGGTGGCGAACACGGTGTTCATCACCGAGTCGCAGCTGACCAGCAGTATACTGCTGGCCCGTTGGAGTAGCAGTAGTGTGGGCAGGGATGAGGGCAAGAAGCTGCTGGCTGCCTTCAGGACTGTGGTCTGAGGTGATGTTCACCTACTTGCTGCTGCTGATACTGGGGGGGCTGTCCTTGTTGGTTTATGTGAGGGTGACTTAGTTACTGCGTGCGTGTGTCTGTGTGTGTCTAATCGTGTGCCTGTGTGGATGGCTGGCTGCTGTGTAGACAGAGCTAGGAGGGAGGGAGGGAGGGAGGGAGAGGGAGGGACACACATCCTAATAGGTCGCTTTATCACGGGCTGTGCCGTGACCTGCCATGTCTCATTCACACGTGTCATGCATGCTCGGAATCAATCAAGCAATCAATCAATCACACACGCTGTTGACGCGCAAAAAGGAGCGCACATCGTCACCCTATGCAGTTTTAGTCATAGTCGTGAGCTCGACGCATACATCCACGTACACGTCTGTGTGCTGAGTGAGTGACCGAATCTCTCACATACGAACGAATTATGCACAAAAGGAATGCTGGATACCTACACACACAAACGTCTGCCTGCATTCACATATGCACATCGACGGGCAGCGCAGCCATGAGGTGGAATGGAGTGGGTGGGATGGAAAACGCCAACAACTATCTACTTGTCTGTCCGTGTCCGCCGCCAGCCATCTGTCTACTTCTTGCCGAAGAACTGCGTGATGCTGCTCTGCACCTGGCCTGATCACACACACAACACAACACAACACATGCACAGCGCATCCACCCGCCCAACACACACCACACGCAAAGGCAAACATGTGTCCGCCGTCAATACACGCATCTCATGTGGGGCGCAGCACTCACCCCGTTTGTGGTCTCCCTCTCTCTCCTCCTTCTCCTTTTTCTGCCGCTTGGCGTCCGGTTTGGTGCCCGAGGTCTTCTTCTTGGCCTCAGCCTGCGGCTTGGCCTTCGGGGCCGACTTGGCTTTCGGCTTGGGAGAGACCTTCTTGCTGTCGGCCTATGTGTGAATGCGGCACACAAAAAGGCACGAACAAGTACGGATGGGGCACGTGTCTCTGTGGGGGTGGGTGGGTACCTTCTGTGTGTCTTTGCCCTTGTTGTCCTTCTTGTCCTGTGTGCTGTCAGCTGCCTCTTCCTCCTTTGCTTGGTCTTGATGGCCGCCGTGGCGTTGGCCGTCCGGGACGATGTCCACGTACATCCTCAACCCGTCCTCATCATGGACGCCGTCATCGCCATCGGCAGCTGACCTGCACTCATCCATCCATCCATGACGTGCACACAGATGGTGCTGCATTTGGACACCAATGTGGTACTCACCCCGATGCAGCAGCAGAAGCAGCACCAGCAGCAGCAGGGACGGGTGCAGCAGCAGCTGCTGCAGCAGCGGCGGCCACGGGTGTCTCCTTGTCCTTGTCCTTCTTCTTCTCGCTGTCCTTCTCCGCCTCCTTCTTCTCGTGCTCATCTGCAGGAATGAAAACACATGTGTCTCTTCTCTCTCTGATGCGTGTGTGCGTACCGTCCTCCTCCTCTATGTCGCTGTCGGGCAGCTTGCGCTTGTTGTTCTTCCTGGCCCTGATTGGCCGCTTGGGCTCGTCGTCATCAACAACATCAACATCAACGTCATCTGCACGCACCCATATTGCCGTCCTATATGCATTGAGTGAACCGTTTGGCGTGTGTACGGTGTATGGGGTACCGACCTTCATTCTTATCCGACGCTGCCTTCTTGCTACCGCCACTGCCGCCGCCACCCCCCTCCCTATGGTCCTTCTTCTCATCGGCTGAGTGCGCCCAGACAGGCGGACACACACACACACACACACAAACAGGGGCATACAATGATTCGGATTGTGGATGTGCGGACACATACCTTCCTCCAATGGTCTCTTCCTGCCACCGCCCCTCTTCTTGTCGTCCTTGCCGTCAGCTACACAAACACAGACAGCCGCAGCTGGTGCGGGTGGGGCGGGGTGGGCATCGTCTACCGCGGGAGGCCTGCACACACACACACCGACGTAGATAGACGCCCCATACCCATGCACACACATCTCTGCATCATTGTGTGTGTGTGTGTGGGGGGGGGGGGGGGG